AAGGATAGAAATTTTGTTATTTCTCTTCAAAATAAATTATGATTTTTCCTTCAAAAGAAACATCTGCGGTAAAACTTGTCAAACGTTGTTTTACAATGAGTTTCTTATATTTAATGCTTTACGTTTCCAGCTTTAGGGTATTATATATATAACGACCCTACTACAGTAATAAAAAAAAACCAAAGAATGTGAATATAGATGAATCAACCGGTTATATATAAACATATATAATATTTACATACCATTATTATTAATTTTGAAAACAGGTATGTAAATTATATGTTTTGTATATAAAACCGTTTATCCATCTAGATTCATTCTTTGTTTTTTACTCCTGTAGAAGGGTCGTTTAAAAAAAAAGTAATATTAATATATTATATCAAACTTGATTATGAGTTATATAGAAATTTAATATATAGAATTTTAAAAACACGTGCTTCAATGTATGTTATATTTTGAATATTTGAAAGACACCAATACAGTCATTCTTTTCGCAATGTAAATTTAATTATAAAATTTCTAATTCATATTTTCTGGGAGTTTTCTCAATTATTAAAGGATTCTCTATAGCCTTTTCCATATCGAAATATTCAAAAGAAAATAGAAGTTTCTAGAAAGGATTTACAAATCTTGAAATAGTATTATTGTTATTGTGTAAAGATATGAAATAATACAATGCACACTCTCTTGAAGGTATTAGGTCAAGTAACTTTGAGAACAATAGAGAAAATACCAATTATGTTGGGTCTGCTATTATTAATCAAAGCTGACATTTGCTATAGTGGCAGTTTCCGAGGGTTATATTAAATCCGCTAGTTTTTAATAAAGCAGATGCTTGCTAATAGTCGCTGGATGAAATGCTTTAACGTCTCAGGGGAAATAAACATAAGCCCTTGGGATAAACACTATAAAACAGCTATATATATAAACAGTTTGTGTACTACTTAAATATAATTTCAAAATAACTCATTCTCTTTTATATTCTATGAGTTCAAATTTTAGTTAAAATTAATTTAGAAAATAATATTTATTAAAATTATTGATTCACACTACAATATGTTTGTAGACGAAAAACAGACCTAAACATATATTCCTCATTTTTATCATGGCTTATAAAATTGTATTCGTAATAGTTTCAAATGGAAACATTACTATCTCTCAACAAACACTATATTAAATTTTACGTTAATTGAAATAATTCTAATTACAAATATATATATATATATATATATTTTTTAAATTTATTTATTGTTACAAAAGCACGAAGTCCAAAGGACTATTGTGCTGTGCTAGTATTATTTACCTATATATGATTAATTTTTTACACGATGGATTAGTATTGTTTTGTAAATTATTGTACAAATAGTTCTAAACTTAACAAAGTTCTCATAAGATAGAGTATATACACAAAGAGAATTTGGTAATGTTTCAAAGTATCTACATACAATTTGATTAGTCAGAGGGCAAGTTAAAAGTAGATGTTCTGGTGATTCAACATCCAAGCGGCATTCACATGTTGGATCATTAATAGCATTCAGTTTGAATAGGAAACTTAAGAAGGGTCCTTTGCCAGTTAAGAATAAAGTAGTGAATTTATCAGGAGAAATTAAATTTGGGACAGCAATTGGAAAGAATTTCTTGAACAGTTCATTAGATTGAGAAAGATAAAACTTAAATTTTAGATCCAGATATAGTTTGTTTAATTCTTTTTGAAGGGTTTTTTGAGTGTTCGATCTGTGAGAGAAATTGTCATATTATACTTTGTTTGTAATAATTCAAGATAATCGGACAGTAAAGGGGTTTTCGCTAGTATATGTGTGATGTAAGAAGATGAAGTCCTATAAGCATGAGTGCATCTAATAAGAATTTGATATTGTATAGAATTCAACTTGGATCTTTTTGCTGCAGTGATAAAAGGAAACCAAATATTTGATGGATAGCTTATTGTAGAGCGTATCATAGCTTTATATAAGATCAATCTACGCCGAGTATCAATGTTCCAAGTACGTGCACATAATGAGAATAATATATTCTTAAGTTTCGTAGCTTTCATAATTATATTGTCAACATGTGTTCCAAAATTAATCTTATTCCTTTGTCTATGATTTTTAAAAATAACTCCCAAAATTTTAACAGTTTCTGATGGCTGAATTATTTTTCCATCAAAATTAATGGGCAATTTTTCATAGTTATGTAGATAGAGTATACCTGTTTTGTTTGGACTTAGTGAAAGTTTTACCTTTTCACACCAGGCTTTGATTTTTATTAAACATTTGGTAATATTATACTGAAGATCATAGATGTTTGAACTCCATACCACAAATGTCACATCGTCCGCGAAAGCAATTACTCTAGCAAAACTTTCGTTAAAAGATAAGTTGAAATCATTAAGTAATATATTCCAAAGAATAGGAGAAATAATACCACCCTGGGGACATTCCTTATTTATATTTTTTATACACTTTACATTAGTATATTTAAACTCTACACTCCGGTCTTCAAAGTAAGAATTAATTATTTTTATAAGTACCGCTGGAAAATTTGCCTTGTCCAATTGTTGGAGAATTGCCGGATGCCATGCGTTGTCGAAAGCTCCGCTGATGTCCACTGTTACTATTGCCGTATTTTCTGTTTCTCTTTTCAGAATACTTAATTTAGTTATTTCTTGTAAAGCAGAGATTGTTGATTTTTCTTGTGTAAATCCATGTTGAGCATATATTGCAAATAATATTTATTAATATCAATTAAGAAGTTTCAGATTAAATTAAATTCTGAAACTTCTGAAACTTTTTAATTGATATACCTTACTGGAAGAGTCTTTAACCTTTAATATTTATTAATGCTTTCGAAATATATAGGTTTTAAATATAAAAATTTCGTGAATTTTTTCAATTATTCTCATTTGCTAATAAGGTGGAAATATAGTATTCTCTCGATTTTCGCAAAACGAAGTATTCATGTGTTCCTATTACGAATAAAATTTTACTGGCCATGTTAATTTTGATAATTATGAATCATATGAATTGAAAGTTTAATATTTGAAAAGTAAATTTTGAATATTTTCTACTGCAATGAGAAAATGAAGCAAAGGGCCTTGGTACTTTAGTGAAGTATTGTCCAGTCACTATGGTTAATGGTTTTGCCAAAACCGCAAAAAATAAATAAATTAAGCATCGAAAAACCAGGCCTTCTTAAAAACTAGTATTTAGTCATAGATAGATATTTATTAATCTTTAAAGCATAACTAATACTAAAATATAAATATAATGATTATTAATAAATATTTACATCAATAAATTGTAAAGATATATAGATATTTTTCTGGAAATAGAGCAAGCCATAAATAAGTCTTCAAATAAAAAGACATATATTGGATCAAAATATCATTTATTTTACTTATATTTCAGTTGGATGAACGCCAACCTTTATCAAGGTATTAAAACATATTCTATATAACATATAACATAAAATATATATATAATTAATAAATATTTACATAATTGATTGTAAAGATGTAAATATAAATACAAGTATAATATGGAATGATTTTGATTTTATCATAAAGAAAAGATAAGTTTTGAAACGGTAATCTTCACAATGTTTTCTTCTTTAATGTTGCAGTGCGGTAAAATATCAAACTAAACACAACGGATCCAACTACAAACCTGTGAAACAAATTACCGAAGGATTTTTCTTTGTTAGAAAGGCATGTCTAACCCCAAAATCCAAGTATTAAACTTGTCCCAAGGAAATGATGGAAAAAGGAATTTGATGTATTGATCCGTTCCATTTAGATGGCCAAATTGAAATATTATATTTATATATTGCGGTGTGTGAGAAATATTCCTTCGATTCCTCAAATGTCAAAAAGTTATAACATATTGCAATATATTTCTTTTACACGTACGCAAATATAAAGCTTCAAACATAATTTTCGATGCAATGTTAATACAGCGTGGATATTTTTAATCGTATTATAATACGCTAATGAAAAAATGTATATGAATATTATCGAAACTGGTCTTTTTGAATAGAAAACATTAAATAATTTTGTCTATACCGTTATTTTTCATATATTTGAATGAAGTTTTCAAGAATTTAAACATCATATATAGGCAAAATTATTTAATGTTTTAATTCAAAGAGATCAGTTTCAATAATATTTATATACATCTTTTAATTAGCGTCCTTTAATACGATTAAATTATCCACGCTGTATTAATATATTGCATGGAAAATTATGTTTGAGCTGTATATTTGCGTACATATAAAAGAAATATATTGCAATATGTTATAACCTTTTGACATTTGAGGAATCGAAGGAATATTTCATATATAAAATTTATATATTTTGTATATTATTTTTGAGATAGAAATTATTAAAACTGAAATATTTAATATTATTTTCATATATCTAAAGCGCGGTAGAGAATGAAGGCTAAATTAAAAAAAAAAATACCTCTAACTTCCAAAAAATGTGTTTATATTAGGTTCATACCCAGTCAACTTATTTATGAAGTATTTAATATTCTGAAAGGCAAATCTATATATTATTATATTTAAATTTGAATATTTTCTCTAATAAATCATATATATTCTTCGTCGCGCATAAAAAATATAAAATTGATTCAATTATAAAATAAGCCAACACCAAATCTCCGATATTTAAATTTCATTGATAAGAAAAAAAAACATAATGAGTCACGAAATTGCTTTACATTTGATTTACATAAAGCCAATTTCGTGACAATATAATATCAATATATGTGGATAATATTGAGGAGGTATAAATTTATTATGGTTATATATTCCATATATTAATAATACAATATAACGCGGCTGATGATTGTAAAACGCAAATTGCAATTATACCGCGAATGTTTCTTTTAAACAAAAATCGAAATTTATTTTAAAGAGAAATAACGACTATTTCTAACTTTAAGGATGAAGTATGAAAGGGTGAAAATATGAAGAGTAATGGCGAACGGAAAAATAAAAGTGTCCAGGGGCGGGAATCGAACCCACATGGCATCTGCCCGGTAAGCGGAAGGTCGTGGGTTCGATTCCCGCCCCTGGACACTTTTATTTTTCCGTTCGCCATTACTCTTCATATTTTCACCCTTTCATACTTCATCCTTAAAGTTAGAAATAGTCGTTATTTCTCTTTAAAATAAATTTCGATTTTTGTTCAAAAGAAACATTCGCGGTATAATTGCAATTTTCGTTTTACAATATTCCATATATATATGTTAGAATTTCTGGAAATATAAAAAAAAATACTTTATAGCTGTTATTTTATAGGTTGATAATTTATCTAAATTCAATATACTATTGTTCGCAATACCGAGTTATTTTTCTATATAAACTCCAATAAACGTGGTTATAATATTCTTAACTAACGTCTAGGATTATATTTGTTGATAGCTGTTATTAATATAAATTTATAACATCATATTTAAGTTTGTCACAAGTTGTAAGAGAATTGGTTAGCAATATATAATCTATGAAGTGTGTTGATAATAAAGAATACTTGATATTTTTCATAGAGCCAATATTTGAGAAATGATATTCGAAATTTATATTGGCGAATTCTTTCAAAAAACATCAGTTTTATTCAGATTTCTGTGTGAAAATCATTTGGATCTGTAGGATGGCTCATTCTAGAAAAACTGAATCCACTTAATAAATTTCATTTTTTCATTTGTATTCATCTCAACTCAGATTGTGAAATAATTGCAAAGATTTAAAAACGATATATCAATCGGGTTAATTTTTTGTTGTGTTGTGTGTTGTTGTGTGTGTGCAAAATGTTTCTATATTCAATAAAAATGGCAAGCTTTCAAGCGTTAGCTCACCATCAGGCCAATTGGTTCGCTATATTGTTCGCATTCGCGAAACAATTGGGCTGATGATGAGCTAATGCTTGAACGCTTGCCATTTTTATGGAATGAAGAAACTTTTTGCAATTATCCCGATTGGTATATATCATTTGTATTCATAGTAATGAAGTATAGTCCCCATATTCTTATTCTGATTATGATCATACATTTGAATTTTACATATTATTTATAGTATACATAATCATTCGTTGCATACTGACACATTAAAAGACTTTTCGATCTATTAATGGGAAATAAATAGCGTGAATACTTTTAATCTTTACATAAATACTGTTTTATGTATATATAACTTATATATTTTTCTATTTGTGTTTTATAAGAAATATTAATTAAATATTCTTAGATTATTCAAAATTATAATACCAATTAAAAAAGTGTATTTGCCTATAATAACATTTCGATATTTAATATTAAAAATAACAAAATAAACAAAGTTCTATTTCTCATTAAAATAATAAGAAAATCAAAATATATTTTATAGAATTAAATTTATGAAAATATATATTATGTTTAATTAACTGTTAAACTTAAACTTGTTATTTTAACTCAAATTGAATTTCTCGCTTATAATAAAAAAAATGTATTTTCGTTCGAATGCTTTCAATTATATTAAAATTATTTTCTAAGCTCACAAAGGAAATCAAATTATTTCTTTTACCCAAATCGATGAAGTTAAATCCCCAGTTAAATATAGAAATCAATGAAGGTCCAATTTTAAAATAGAATTAAACTTCTTTTCCACTACTATGATTTTGAAGGCGTGATCTTCTTACTTTTGTTTGGCACCGTGGCATATGACGAGCTCCTTTTCTATTTTCATTACAAATCAATAAAACACTTCAGAATACTTCTCGTTTGATAATTTGAAAATATTTTCAGATTTCTGTAGAAAAATCCTATTCTGATTTTATTTATAATTAATATTAAAAGAGAAATATATTTATAAATCCTAACTTCTATATGAGCAGTATTTTAATATTTACTTTTATACTTTTAGCGTATTCAATTTTCTATATTTTACAATAAATATAAATTGAGATTTTAAAAAGGACAAAATTGTTTACCTTTTATTTTGCCTTCAATTTTTTTTTTTGAATATTAAAATTAGAAAGATGTGAAATATTACATTTACGCTTTTCAGAAATGTTATACATGGCTATTGATCTATTTTTCTGAAAGAATATTTCAATTTAGAAATTTGCTTTTCCTATTAAAATATAATTTAGACAGTAAAATGAGCAGTTTTATTTTTTATATCTCACTTAATAATTCAACTTTTGAAAAGAAAAAGCATTACTTGTTTAAGGATGATATTCTTTGTATTTCAAATCCAGATAAAAGCGGCTAAATTGAATGGGATAAAATCAATGGAGAATGAGATAAAGAAGGAGAAAAGGAAATTGATATATCACTGCTTAATGACGCTCTTACTTTCATTTTGTTTCTTTTTTAATCCATCAAAATAATTGGTATATCTATTTCAACTTGAATTGTGTATGTACATATGACAGTTAACAATACATAATATGCCTCTTCTTTCTATCTATTCGATTGATATATTCACATAATCTTCTAATGTCTATTCTATTTCATATGAATAATTAATATATTTATTTAAACTTGAATGCTGTATATTCATATTAGAGCTTTCAATATATAATGCCTCTTTTTCTATCTGTTCGATTGATATATCCACATAATCTCCTAATGTGTATCCTTTGTTTGATAGCTTACATTGCACCGAGTCTATTCTATTCCGTCTGAATAATTGTGTATATCTATTTCACACATTGAAATCTGTATGTTTAATATGACAGTTTACAATACATAGTGATTTTTATATTCTATCTGCGTTCGATTGGTATATTCATATTACTACCTAATGTGAATGCTTTTTTTGACAGCTTACATTGTATAACATCTTTTCAATCCTACCTAGATAATAGATATATTTCCCTTTGGAATTATGTATGTTTCATATGATAATTTCCATTATATCGTGATTTATATATTATATCTGGTTGATTGGTATACCCACATTACCACTCAAGGTGCATGCTTAATTTGGCAGCTTTCATTGAACCACGTCTTTTCCATCCCATCTGGATAATGGGTATATCTATTCCACCTTTATTTATGTATGTTTCATATTATAATTTACATTATATCGTGATTCATATATTATATCTGGTTGATTGGTATATCCAAATCAGCTCTTAGTGTGCTTCCCTTATTTCACAGTTTATCTTATAACGGGTATTTTCTATTCAATCTGGATAATTGGCAATGTATGCTCCAGTATTCTATATGTTTATCAAATACAATTAGAAGACATGAATATATTATTCTTATTATTATTATGACATTGTATAGTACTAAAGGTCACGGAGACTGAAATTATTGGATCAAATTAACAATTTATGTAGGGTTGGAATAAATATCTTGCCTTGATTCTGCCATATATTTCAAGAGGTGATCCGGTGAGGCTTCTTTGATCCTGAAGATGGTGCATGGTTTTGACACCATCCTGAAAAAGAATCGGCCTTGTTTGGAAATATTTAAACCTGGGATTACAGGTTGCTGCATGTCGATTCATCCCACATTTCAGAATTGCTACAAGCTTTTGGTTTAGGAACCAATCATTGAATATTGACTCCTGTCTAAGAAACATGACATATTAATCTTAACTAATTAATTACTAATAAATTCAACTAAATTTATATTTTTTTTCGAAAAGATCAATCGAACAAATTCTAAGTTCAAAATTTAATAATCATTATCACATTATTCAATAACACTAATATCCTTTTGGAATTATATATGTATCCAGTTTAATTCCTTATAATGATTTATTTTATTCTCTTTCTTATAGTGTTACCATTTAATAAACTACCATTTAGTTTTTTAGTTATTCTTTTTCAATTAATAGACAATTTTTTTAGACAATTAAAATAATTTTATTGACATCTTGTCAATATATGCAAAGTGCACAGCCTGCACTATTTAAAATAAAGATAATATGGATTATATACACTATGTGCCAGCGCTGCAGAGTTTGGTGGAGAATCGCCAGTGGGTCTCCAATTAATAGAGTAAATTTAATTATTTAAAGAATTATAATTTGAATAAATTAAATAAAAATGTGATAAACACTAAAATCCGTAATATAAAACATGGAATGGAAGCATGTTGATATAAATTACTCTATTGTGGAAGCTATAAAATGCGAAAACTATAAAATATGAAAACAAAATTGGGTTTATATTCAGCGACCCTGGTGGAATATTAATTGGTTCATTTAAAAATGCAGAAGATAATAGGGAAACTGAAGACAGGTTGTCACATGATCCATTAGAGGGCGCTGCAGGCGTCCTTCTGTTTTGTTTAACCATTAAAATGTAAATTAATAGTCTTCTGCATTTTGTACAACAACACTTTCATCTAGTTGTTTAAATTACGTCGATTAATATTCAGTTTCATAATTTATTTTTAGAATGGACTATAGAGTAGATTTTGCTATTTATATTGATATATATATATATATATTATGAATAAAATATATAATTTCATTTGAAAGAGAATGTGCTTACTGAAAAAAGTATCTTCAATTTTCTGCATTTCCTTTAAATATTTTTCTCTCAATGTTATACAAGGAATTATTATTGTGCGTGTAGCATAAAACTTCGTATGTGTCAAATTCCTTTTTTTTTTCAAACGAAAACGGTGAGCTTTGTAGTTTTAATTATAATATTATATATCCTGTAATTTTGTTGTTTGAATAAATTCTTCCAAAGCTGAAATTATCGATTTTAAGATATATAAGGTTATTTGATTCAAATGAAAAGCTTTTTTCTTTCTTTTTATAATGTGAAACAACTTAATATTTTTGGTTATCTATTTATAAAAAGCATCATTATAAAGAGGATGGAGAATATAATTTGAGATTTTTTTTTGCGTGAATAACTTATAAATATTATATAGAGTGGCCTAAAATTATTTCTAATCTCATGTATTAATATATTAGAAATGTGATAAAAATTTTAATGGGTATCTCTTTCCTTTTTATCAAAAATTCAAATTCTATATCAATATATTTAAAAGTACAAAACATAAAACCAAAATATTGATTTATTTTTCTTTATCATCCATGATTCACGAACGGATCTTTGATTATTTTTA